AAAAAAAAAAAAAAAAAAAAAAAAAAAAAAAAAACCTCCACAAAGACTCTAGGTCACCGGGGAAGGAAGAACAAAAATGAAATTAAATCTACAGAAGCAAAGGCAGACTCTCTCCCCGCAACACTCTCAACAGAGTCCCTGAAAAATCAATTCTCCCCACCTCTCCCTTAGGAACCCGCCACCTTCCCAGTCCAGGCGTGGGCTACAGGGATCCACATGGCAGGCTGGAGGAAGCCTACGCTGCTAGCTGCTAACATTCTCAGCATTCCTGAGCCAGAATGCCAAAAGCTTGACCAGACCCCCACCCACACACCAAGACCAAGGGAACCAGCTCAGACCAAGTCTCCTTTACAGGGGACACAAGGGAATCTCGCTGAGAACCCCCTAGACTAACCTTCTGCCAAAGACAAACACAGGAGATGTCCTCTGGCAACAGAAAGCGTAGCTAGATGGTGCAAATCTAACCCTTAAGAAATCAGAAGCTTAACTCAAGAATAAAACTCCTGAGATTTCCACACTTCCCAAGGTAGTATTATCCACTGCTACTGGGTCTTAGCTCTACCACAACTCCACGCCTCAATGCTGGAGGAAAATACAAAAATTGCTCAGGTCTTCACCTGAGTAAACCATGCCTGGTCTTCCTCCCCATGGTAACTTCTCCTGGGAGGACAGGAAAGAGAAATGGGACACAAGTTTCGGTGGGGCACCATCCAACCCAACTATGACCTGGTCTGACAGAGGAAAGGGGTGGAAAGTATCATGTCGGCTGAATCCAGGCCCCCAAGCAGCACAGAAGTCACAAGTCTGTCCTTCCCCAGGCTACTCCTACTTGCAGTTTGCCTGCCTGGACAAAGCACTGTCCACCAGCTCCCTAGCTGCTGTTCCAGCAGGAAGACCGTCACAGCAGGGAGCACCAACCCGGATTTGCGCTACACCTCGAAGAACCAGACATTTCCAATCATCCGAGACCAAACCCTTCTCTCGGAAACAGAAGAAACTGGGCGTGGGGGCACACACCTGGGATCCCAGCACTCCTTGGGAGGCTGAGGCAGGAGGATCACTGCGAGTTCAAGGCCAGCCTGGGCTACATACCGAGTTAAGGACACCTGAACTGCCTAGTGAGACCCTGTCTCAAAAAAAAAAGGTATGAAAGGTGTCTCCTAATCCAATGTACAGGACGGGATGATGTTAGCTAGAGAGAAATAGAACTGTTACTGCTCAGAACAAATGGGGTAGCCTACACCCACCGCACTACCATCATTACCAAGAAAGGCAACAACCTGGGCAACTGGACAATCCATAAAGAGGGAGAGAAGTAGTAATCTACGACTAGCTGGGAGAGAGAGTTACAAATTACACCAAAATAAAAGGGAATGCAAAAGCGGAAAAGAGGTCAATGAACTGCGAATAATCACCTGGTAATTAATACTCTAAGCAAAGAGGGTCTGCACAAGGGATGCCCGACAGAGAACCCACAGGTGGTAACATCTTAAGTCAAAGGAACTACTGAGAGTGGTCATCCCCAAAATGTGCAGAGTTCCACGCTAGGTCCTTCGGGCTGGGGTCAATGCAGAGGTTCCAACGATGTAATTAGAATGCGGCGAAGAGGAGACATTTCTGGGAAGCGAGGTAAAGTGGAGCAGTAGCCCAAAGGAACCAAAATCATGAGCCTTGGGACGTGGGCGAGTTCGTGGAAGGGGGCAGGAGACAAGCCATATGTCCAAGTGTCCCTGGCTACCTGGGGGTCAATAGCAGACTCTGAGGGCAGGCAGAACCGCAAACTGCAGAAGCAAGAGTAACCGGAGAGAAGGAGCTAAACCCCGGGAGCGGCTTGGGCCTCCCAAGCCCTTCGACTGCAAAAAGCTGTAGGGGTGAGCGCCCAGGTCCCCGACGAGCCCCCCAAGCCGGCCACAGGCGCCCGCGAGGGTCCTCACCGTGATGTTGCAGTGGATGCGGACGGGATCCCCGGGCACCGACCCCCGAGGGGG